GGCGCAGCGGCGGGCCGCGGGCGGCTCGGCGAGCGACAGGCCAGAGCCCGCCGAGGGCTGCGCTGCGGGCGCTGGACGACCGCGCCCGCCGCTCGACGTTCGCCTTGGTGGCGAGCCGCCGCCGTCGGAGGCCGCGGATGGCGGCGCCGTCGGCCGCGTGCTCGAGGTCCTCGTCGCGAGCTGCAGCCTCGCGCCAGACCCAGACATCCGACGTCTCGATTTTTTAGAGACGCGGGCCCCCGACCTCCCGACCACTTCCCTGGGACCGGTTTTTCATCCCGAGTGGTTTTTTGACGGTCCCGAGGCCTGGCGAGGGCCCCGAAAGGCCAAAAACTATGAAAAACCTCTGTCTCGATTTTTTCGAGACGCCCGATGTCTGGGGAGCCAGCGCAGGTGCGATTCGCGGACTGTCCTGCGGAGCGCGTGGCCGCCGATCTCCTCGAGCTTCAGCGGCGCCCCGTCGCCCGCAGCCCAGCGGCGCGTTGCCGTTGAGCTCCAGCCGAGCCTCTCGAGCGCGAGCGGCGCTGCCGCTGCGGGGCCGCACCCCGCCGCGCCGCTGGGCCCCCGCTCGAGGCGAACCCGCGCGGCGCGCCTCCACGCCCAGAGCACGTCGCCAGCGGCATCGGGGTGGCCTCGCGCGAGCCCGCGCCCCCAAGCTTGCATCGCCAGCTCGGCCTGCGAGCGCCGCAATTGTGCCGGGGGGCGGCTGCCGGCGCGAAGCCCACCTTCAGGGGTCGGCCCCGCGCGCTGCCGAAGGCGAGCGACCCGACCGCCGAGCGCCACTGCTGGAGCTCGCTCGCAGCCCAGACCTGAGCGCTGCAGCCGCAGGCCGTCGTCGGGGGGGGGGCCGCCCACCAGCAGGCGCATGGTGGCGCTGATGGGCCGGCGCCGCGCGCCTGCCACGGCGCGCCGCTTTCTCGCCACCCCCGCCGGGGCGGGGCCGCCCAGGCAGAAGCCCGCGCCCGGGTTCTTCGCGACCTTCGTCGGCCTGGCACCCAGCACGCTGGACTTCGGCACCGCCTGGACCTCGTCCCGCGCCAGCGCGTCAGCGGCCACCGCCTCCGTCTTGGCCCCCGAGATCCTGCAGCCGAGCGCGGTGAGGCCCGCGGCCACCGCGAGCCCACCTCCACCAAGTGCTTCGCGATCGCCCGCGAGGCGCGCCAGTGGCGAGCCACGGTCGCGTCGTCGTAGCAGACGCACGCGCAGGACTTCAGCTCGCCGCTGCTGCAGGCGCCGACCCCCTCAGCGCGCGCCCTCGCCACCGGGAGCATTGCCGCCTTCAGGGCGACCCCCGCGCGCGGGCAACCAGCCGGCGAGCCCGCGTCCAACGCGCGCGCCTCGGCTACGACGGTGCCCACTCGTAAACGACGGCGCCCGCGGTAGGTCGACATCACGCAGCGGGCAAGTCTGCCGCGCACGCCAGCTCGGCGGGCCAGGCACTCGGCGCAGGCCAATCGCACCGTCTCGCGCGCCTTCTCGAGGTCGATCAGAAGCGCGGCTCCGCGAAACCGCTGCGCCCCCGCCGCCTCGGCGGCCAGCGCCTGGCGCCGCGCGGACTCCTGGGCCGAGCGCCCAGGTCCGCCCCAGAAGGCGCTGGTGCCGCTGCCGCGGCGGGTGGCCTCCCAGCGCCGCGCCTCGGCTTGCCTGGGCTTGCTCCAGATCTGCGGGATGCTGGACAGCAGGCCGATGGCCCTCCAGCCGCCCACGGGCTCGGGCAGCATCGCGATGAGCGACGCCCGCGCCGCCAGGGGGCGCCCGCCCCACTCCTCGGCCGCCATGCCTACGTCAACGAAGAGCTCGGCCGTGGCCGTGGAGACCTGGGCGAAGGCTCGGGGCGACACGCGGTCGACGCCCATGCCGTTCGCCTCGAAGGACCTGGCGGCGCCCAGCCACTCGTCTGCAGTCGGCCTGGGCAGCGCCTCCGAGTCCGACTGCCTCTCGAAGTCCTGCCACCCGTCCGAGCCGTCGGCCGTGCTCCAGACCTCGGTCGCCCAGTGCCCGTCGATGGCGCCCACCTCGCGCTGCTCCGCGCCGAGGGCGGCTCGCTCGGCCAGCGCTGACTCGAGCTCCTTCGCGGCGAAGGCGAGGGCCTCCTTCCGCACGGGCACCTGCTCCTGCTTCGCCTCGCGGCGCTTGTCCAGCTCGTCCATCTCGCTGTGGCAGGACTCCAGGAGCGACACCAGAGGCGACGCCGCGGCCTCGTCCGCGCGGCCCGCGGCCTCCAGCTTCGCGACGAGGCCCTGCTGCTCCGCCGTCCTGTTGCTGCCGCGCGCCTCCTCCGCGCCAGCGCCGCTCCTCGGCGGCGGGCGCCGCAGCGCCACGTTCTCCTTCTTGATGCCGTCGATCTCGTGTTGCAGGGCCTTGACCTCCTGCGCCGCAGCCGCCGCGGCACGCGGCCTCGCCCAGGGCGGCAGCGCGAGGCCGCGCACGCGGCAGGCGCCGTCCCAGCCCGCCTTGCTGCCGCTGCCCGCGCCGCCGTGGCCCGCCGCCCCCCCTGGCCGGGAGCCGCGGCGGCCCGCGCAGGCCCTGGCGCCCTCCGCCAGGCTTTCGCGTCCGCGCCCGCGGCTCCTGCCCGCCTTGGCCGCCAGCGGCGGGCCCGCCTACGATCGCAGCGGGCACAGCGATTGCTTGCTGACTCACGCCCCGCTTAGCGCTAGTCTCAGCGCGAGGAAGGCGTCAGCCTGGCTGACGCGCACAAAACCCACGAGCCAAAACTAGGATGATGATGATGAGGAGGAGGAGGAAGAAGAAGAGGAGGATGGTGGTGGCGCTGATGATGATTAGGAGGAGGAGGAGGAGGAGGAGGAGGATCACCATCATCATCATCATCATCATCATCATCATCATCATCATCAGCATCATCATCATCATCATCATCATCATCATCATCATCATCATCATCATCATCATCCTCATCCTCATCATCATCATCATCATCACCATCACCATCATCACCATCATCATCATCATCATCATCATCATCATCATCATCAGCATCATCAGCATCAGCATCAGCATCAGCATCAGCATCAGCAACATCATCATCATCATCATCATCAGCAGCAGCATCATCATCAGCATCATCATCATCATCATCAGGAGCATCATCATCATCATCATCATCATCATCATCATCAACAGCATCATCATCATGGGAGGAGGGAGGAGGAGGGGGAACGGAAGGAGGAATGAGAACGCGGGGCGATGCGCACTCAAAACGAGGACCCAACACCACAGGATGGTTGGGCACAGGCGACGGAAGATGCAAAGGCAAAGGATATGTGTGTATGAGTATATATATATATATATATATATATATATGTAAGCACACAGATCTATGTATACATAAACGTGAAGGAGGAGATGCTCGAGGTCATCTCGGTCGCGCAGGCCCTCCTCCAGAGGTCCGAGAGCCACGATCCCCACGGGGGGGCGGGAGCCGCCCGCGAGGCTCCCCGCGGCCCCCCGTGGCCTCGGGGAGGGGGCCCTGGCCCGCGTGGGGGCCCCGGGGCGCCGCCCGCGGTCGGGGCGCCGGGGGGGCGCCGTGGCCCCGCGCGGGGCTCGGCGGGGGCCTCGGGGGCCCGCCGCGCTGCCTCGGCCCCCCGGGGGGGGGGGCGCGGGCGACTCCCCCTCCCTCGCCATCGCTCGGACGTCCATTCCTCTTGTATTTTTCGGTTTCGCGCGTGTTCCTCGATGGCCGCCGCCGAGAAAAAAATGCACACGTCCGAGCGATGCCAGGCCTCCTGCAGCAGGGCCGGGGCGGCAGGGGCAGGGCTCTCGCCCCCGTCGTCAGAGCCCGCTGGGCCCCCTGAAGATTCTGGAAGACAGGAGAGCGCGCCACCCCGTGCGTTGCTCGGCTTCGCAAGTGGTACCTTTTCGCCAGATGATCCAAGATGTTTCTCGAGGGTCCTCGCCGAGAAAGCTGCACACGTCCGAGCGATGACAGAAGAATGGTTCACATGCGCTGCCGAGGCAGCACTGCTTAATAACAGACCACTTCCAGCAGCGAAAGAAACGCCAGAGGCACGAGAGAAAAGCGGCCTCCTCCCGCCCTTCTTCCCTCCATCCCCGGGCCCAGGCTGATCCTGACCCTCGACGATGGGACCCGATCCGCCTGGCCGATCGACGGGTCGAAAAAGTCGGCGACCGCTCATCCTCCTCCTCCTCCTCCTCCTCCTCCTCCTCCTCCTCCTCCTCCTCATCATCATCATCAGCATCAGCATCAGCATCAGCATCAGCATCAGCATCATCATCATCATCGTCATCATCATCATCATCATCATCATCATCATCATCATCATCATCATCATCATCATCATCACATCATCATCATCATCATCGTCATCCTCCTCCTCCTCCTGATCCTCTCCTCCTCCTCCTCCTCCTCCTCCTCCTCATCATCATCATCATCACCACCGCCACCACCATCATCAGCAGCATCAGCATCATTGGCATCATCATCATCATCATCAGCAGCAGCATCATCATAATCAACCCCATCATCAGCATCATCATAATCAACAGAATCAGCATCACCATCAGCAGCAGCATCATAATAAGTGTCATCATCATCGTCATCAGCAGCAGCACCATCATCCTCATCATCATCATCATCCTCATCATCCTGCTGCCAGGATGAACACGAAAGCTGCTTCACCCAAACAGATCCGTGTCGTCCGACTGCTGGCGCACGCCTGACGGGCACGGCTCGTGCCCGTCCACTTCGTGCTGCTCCCTTCCCCCGGCTGCCCCGTGCTGGGCCCTCGTGCCGTCTCCCCCCCCACTCCTCCCGACCCCCCCCCTCCTCGTCCTCCTCCCTCCTCGCGCCCCCGCGTGCTGCAATCCGCGCAGCCGTCGCCTCGCACCGCCGTGCCCATGGGGGCTCTGGCGCAACGGCGCACGGCACCGTCACACGTGGGACCCCTCCCTCCCGTGCGCAGCCAGGCGCGCCGCCGTCGCCACCTTGCTGCGCCCCCGAGGCCCAGCCTGACCGCTCCCTTCCTGGGTGCCGCCAGGCCCTCAGAAGCAGTCGCCACCCTGCTGCGCCCCTGGGGGCGGAATGGTGACCCACGCCGTGCAGGTGTCGCCGCTCTCCTGCGTCCCAGGGAAGGGGGGGGGGAGGGGGGGGGGCGACATGGCGCCTTACACGGATCCAGGCTAGATCTCGCGCCCTCCCTGGCTGCCGCCTCGAGCGCGCAGCTGTCGCCGCGCCGCCGCCTCTCCAGGAGGGGGAGGGGAAATCAAGCCTGCCGACGCCCACCTTGCCCTCAATGGGCGCCGACCAGCGAGCAGCTGCTGCCACTCTGCTGCGCCCGCGCGCGAGGGGGGGAGGGGGGCAGCCCAGTGTGGTGCTGAGCAGGTGCAGACGGGGCCTCGCCCTCCCTGGTGCTGCGGTCCTGCGCAGACTCCATCCCCTCTTATCCTCGTTCCTCCTCGCCTCATAGCCGCCGCACCCGTTTCCTCCCCGCTCCGCCTCATTTCCCATGGAATTCCTTCAGATGGGCCCCTCGGGGCTTGCAAAGTCATGGCTTCCTATCGAGGTCTCAAAAAGGATTGCGTGCACTTTCATGCAGCTGCTCGTTCCAGCTGCTCCGCGCTCATGCGGTCACTCGGTAACTAATACATGTGTTGGTGCGACGGCAGAGGAGGGAGGGGCGACCCGTATCCCAGACTTCGTCGGATTTCGGCTAGACCAAAAGATGGGGTCTCGAGTGAGGATAAATCGAGAATCTCTGAGGTCTGGCGGCTCTTGAGGATGCCTTGGGCGCCGCGGCCTCCTCAGAGAGTTCCGGAACGCTGTGAGAGCGTTCCAGAATGCTCTGGAACGGATTTATCCTCGTCCTAGCCCCGTCCCAACATCGCATGCGATGCTTGCCTCATGGGGCCTTTGGAGGCCCTCTGGGACCTCCGAAGGTATCTGGGGACCTCCAGAGGCATCAAGGGACCTCCGCGGAAACCTTCTGGATGTCCTCCCGGACGGGCGGGAACAGGAGGATTTGGGGAGAGGTAAAGAGGGAAAGGCGGGGGGAGAGGCAGGGTAGGTAGGATGGGGGAAGGAGGAAAGGGGAGAAAGGAGGGGGGATGGAGGCAGAAGGATGGGAAAGGCGGGAAAGAGGCTGAACTCGGCAGCGGGAAGGAGGGTGAGGGGGACGGGGGAAGGGCTCCTAGGGCGCCGACACCGTTCACTTCCACGCGAGTGGTGAGGGGAAACTTGGGCTCGAACCCTCCACCCGGCCGCACGTGCTTCAACAGGGCAAGCGTCTCGAAGTCCTTCTCGTTGGACTGGTGCCCAAACTGATTGCAGGGAACGCCAACGACGCTCAGCTTATCCCCGAAGCGGTCAACCAGATCCGCATACCCCTTCGGGTTCGTCCGCAAGGCGTGCGAACATCCCGCCTCCGGACCGGAAGTCCTCGCCCACGGGGCTCAGAATCGTATGGTCGGGAATTTGGGGATGGAATGTTGCTGCGGCGGGCCCGGCGACACGCTGTCCCGTGCGAGCGGACAGCGTGACACACCGCTCCGCGGGGCTGAGCCCTGGGAAAGGCCCGGGAAGTCGTCGCCTGGGGACCGGAAAGTGGATAGCGTGTCGCTCCAAAGCGCGACGGGCCAGAACCGGCGGAACGACTCGCTGTCCACAAGCTCCCTGCCGTATCAGCCCTCCGACGGCATGTGGCTGGCGGTGGCAAGCTTTCCGAAACAACCCCCGCGCCCTCTTGTGGGAAAGGGGGCTACCTCCCGCGGCCCTGGCGACACGAAGGCAGCAGGGAGAGGGTCATATCTCGTGGTCGCCTCTGCAGCTGTGCTTTGACAGGGGCACCGCTGATGTTCACTCCACCGCACCTCCCCCCCTCCTCCTCCACTTCTTCCTCCTCCTCCTCCTCCTCCTGCTGCTGCTCCCCCTCTTTTCCTTCTCCTCCTCCTCCTCCTCCTCCCTCCTCCTCCTCCTCCTCCTCCCTCCTCCTCCCCTCCTCCTCCTCCTCCTCCTCCTCCTCCTCCTCCTCCTCCTCCTCCTCCTCCTCCTCCTCCTCCTCCTCCTCCTCCTCCTCCCCGTAGCCATTTTGGCTCAAGGCTAAACGTTGTGAAGGGCTATGGACGCCTGAGAATCAGCGATTAGCTTTGGGGCTTCCGTAGCCTGCTTTCTTCGAGAGGAGCGAAGGCTCCCTTTTGGCATCATTCCTCCATATCTGAGGCGCCCGTGGCCATGGCGCCTGAGCCCCCATGGCGTCGCGGTGGCGCTGGTCCTCAGGCTGGCAGCTATCGCGGCCAAGCTGGGAGCTGGGTGTTTCAGCCTGAAGGTTCACGGGACGGCATGCGTGCCCCGCGGCGCCGCCTGCGCCAGCGCAGGTACCACGTGTGTTCTTCCTGCAGTCACTGGGAGTGGGCGAGCCGTGGGCACGAGGCTTGCTCCAAGTGCGGGGGCTACTACCTCGAGTCCAATGTCGGTGGAGGGGGAGGCCATGAAGGCGCCCCTGTGCGGGCTGCTGGTGCTGGGCAGCCCGATGCGCTGCTGCGCGCCGCAGCCGCCACTCTCCTGGCAGCGCGGCCTGACCTCCGCGAGTCCTTGGGCGACTTGGCGGAGGAGCCAGCGCCCCCTGCGGCTGTCCTCACGCCCGCCCAGCTCGACACCGCGGCGAACACCGAGCGGACCCGTTTGGCACGCGTGGTCGAGGATGCAGCTCGGCAAGTACGACTCGCGTGCCAGGAAGTGGAACAGAAGAGAAGCAAGGCTCAACGTGTACGAGAGCAACTCGATGAGGCGACGAACGCCTTGCATGCTGCGGAGGAGGAGCATGACGCTGCTCAGAAGGCTCGCCGCGATGCAGACGCCGAGCTGCAGGCATTCGACCCCGAAGCCTGGAAGGCGGCGAAGGCTGCCGAGGCGCGCGCTGAGGCGGCGCGCCAGGCCCAGCGGGCTGCGCCCCCCGCTGGCGCCCCTGCTGCGCCGCGGGCGGGCCCGCCCTGGCGGGGCGGGGCGCGCTGTGGCGCGGCGCGCGGCGGCGAGGCTGCTGGAGGTGCTGGTGGTGGCGGCCCTGCTCATGCTGGTGCGCCTGCTAGCGGTGAAGGAGGTGCGGGCGCTCCAGTGCAGGAGCCCACGCAGGTGGACCTCCCCGCTTTCTCGCAGATGTCGGCAGCCGAGCAGAACGAGCGGGCCAGCCAGCAGCGGTTGCCCAAGGGCCTTTGGGAGGCGTTCGTGGCCATGCGGACCACCATTCTTCGTGCTGGTGACGATGCTGCTAGCGACGCAGGCAGCGACGCCAGCTTCGGCGACGCAGTCGGAGCTGGAGATGAAGAGTTGCGCGGATTGCGCAAGCGTGGTCAGGAGCAGGTCCTTACCCCCGAGGAGCAGGAGCGCATGGAGAGCCTCATCCGTGATCGCGTTCGAGCTCGCACCTCCAAGCGCCTGCGGACCACGAAGGAGCAGATCCATCGCCAGTTCACCGAGCTGCTCAAGCAGGCCGTCGCGATGCCTGTGGAAGGGGCGGCGTCTCTTTAGCACTGAGTTGGCTCACCGATCCCGTCCGCCCCGAGCCATGGTTTCACTTGCCGCAGGCGGGGGCCTGAATTTGGTGCTTTGTAACGTCACGAGCTGGTCCAGGATTGCGAAGGACCTGGCGTCTGCCATTTGCCCGGAGGTTGATGCTTTTCTCTTTTGTGAGCACCGATTGCAGCAGCAAGCGCTGCCTGCCGCGAAGCGAGAGATTGCAGCCATGAGCTGGAGGCCCCATCTGCAGGCAGGTGTGCCTACTAAGGGAGGGGGGACTCACGGCGGGGTCGGGATGGTCGTCAGTAAGAGCCTGTATGTAAAACGTTTTCTTGCCCATGCGGGCGGAGTTTCTGACATTGGGTCGGGCCCAGGTTGGATGTTTCTCGAACTCAAGACCCAGAAAGCGACCGTTGCGGTCGGAGTTGGTTATTTTGTCTCGTGCCTGGGTGTCGCGGGGGGGAACCTGTCCAAAATGCGGGGTATCGCCGAGTTCGTTCGTGCTCTCGGGATTCCCTGGATGTTGATCGGGGACTTCAATATCGAGGTTGAAACGATGTGGCTCTCTGGATATCCGCAGTCTGTTCACGCTCGGGTATTAGCACCGGTGGGAGTCGATTTCACGTGTTCACAAGGATCAGGGACGATGATCGGTTATGCGTTGGTCTCGGAGGATTTGGCCCCGTTCGCCCAGGTTGGAGTGCACGAGCCGTCCCCCTTTTAAAACACATCGTGCGCTCCGCATCCAGCTAGCTCACCGAGTGTTGGTTCAGCGCCTCGATCGGCGAGTACGCCCTCGAGTTATTCCAGTGTGTCACGGGCCCGACTTACCGCGGCGGCGCCACCTTCATCAAGAGATTTGCTCCGACCGTGTGCCGCTGAGTATGTGCTCTGTGCAGATGGCCCATATCATCCCGCATGCTGTCGAGCATCTCGATGATCAGATATCTGTACAGTATTCCCTCTGGTCGCGTGCTACCGAACGTTTGTTTCTTTCGCGCGCCTGCGCCGCCATCAATGAGGATGAGGAACATGCGTACATGGGGAGAGGGGATGCTATGAAATTGGCTACATCGACGAACACGCATAAAGGTTGCATGGGCACATCTTTTCGTTGTCCGACGTTGGCGTTTTGGTCTCGGTCATCCGCCAAGCTGTTTGAGCTCCGCACGTTGTTGCGACGGCGACCCACCGAGAGCCACGTCTGCGGGCTGATCCTGGACATGGTCAGCCGCGTCGGCGAGTTCTCCGAGGCGCTGCCACCAGCTCAGCCTTCCCCCTGGTGGACCGATCAGGTCACCGCTGCGGCGCTAGGGGATCTCGATATGGTGGATCGCCTCGTCGGCCTTACTTCCGAGGTTTTGAAGCGTGCTTGGACGGCAGCTAAGGCGGAGTCTTCGAAAGGCCTTAGGGCCTGGCTGCTGCGCGCCATCCCACACGGTGCCAAGGGGGTGCATTCCTGGTTGAAGCGTGACAATCGAAGCGCGGTTGCATATTTTACCCCCCCCCCCCCCCCCTGACGGCGCCAAGCAGTTACCTGAAGAAATGATGGAGTATCGGGCCCGTTTGTGGTGAGGATTTTGGTCTGTGTCGGAGGGTGAGATATTGAGGCTGGGTGGCGCCATGTCTGACCTCCGTGCTGCGGCTCTGGAGCATGTGAACGACCTTCCACCATCACCGCCCCATGCATTCAAGCGTGTATTTTTTTCTCGGCGACAATGGCCGTCGGCGTTGGTGGGTGGGGACCTCGGGCGGTGGCTGAGCTCCCTGCAGAGGCCCTTCACGCCCTGGCCTCTCTGTACTCCCTTTGCGAACGGAGTATGGCTTGGCCGGCTCAAATCTTGCTCGGCCTGATTGCGTTGTTGCCCAAGTCTCAGACTGATGAGCGCCCCGTCTGCAAGTGCCCCACCTTGTACCGACTTTACGCCAACATTCGGGGGGGGGATATCGATGCGTGGACTGCCAACCACGCGGCGTTCTGGGACACGGCGGTCAAGGGATCGTCGGCTCTCCGAGCGGCGCTTGCTCGGGAGCTGCACCACGAGTGTGCCAGACATGAAGGGGCTATTTCTGTTGCGATTCATTTGGGTCTTACAAAGTTTTTTGACACGGTGGGCCCGAGATTGCCCATCCGATTGGCCCTGCGCATGAAATGCCCACCCCATCTGTTGCACCTTGGGATGCTCATCCATACGGCCCCCCGCATGTTGGAGGTTGAAGGTTACGTTTCCCGCGTGGCGTCCGCGGGGAGGGGGGGTGTTGCCTGGCTGTCCCCAGAGTATGCCGTGGGTCAAAATCTACGTTTATGAGGCCCTGGAGGCTGCGCATTATCAGGTGAATGGCGAAATGTCTCGAGTGATCTCACGGGCCTATGTTGATGATATTGCTCAGAATATGGCTGGTACGGAGCAGGGGCTCTTTACCCACGTCTTGCCTGCTGCGACGCTGTTCGCGCAAGAGGTTCACAAGCTGGGCTTGACGATCAGTTGCAAGCGCGCCCTCGTCTGCTCTTCCCCGGCGGTCGGCGCTCACCTTGCGGATAGTCTTCAGGCCTTGGGACTGCCAATTCGATATCGTGCTGAAGCGAGGGATTCGGGGTCCTGTACCACGGCGGGAAGACGGCGGAGGATTCCTGAAGTGAAGCGGCGGAGGCTTGAAGCGCGGCGCCGTTCGTGCAAGGTTTCTTCCCTTTCCCGCATTTATCAGAGGGCCTCCAAGCTGCACAAACCTGATGTGTTGGCGGTTGGGACCTGGGGCCATCAACTGGTCGGGATGTCCCCTCACCAGTTGCAAACTGTGAAGGGCCAAGCGGCCCAGTGTTCGGGTTGGTGGGCCGCTGGGTCTTGTTCCACCACGGTTTTGTCGTTGATCTGTAGCAGTGCGGAAGACCCTATCTTCCGATTAGG